ATTGTCCATGGTCATGGTATCGCCAGTTACCCAACCAGCTGGAATCCTTTTTGGCTAGGAGGAGTCCTAGTATCTTGACTCTACATCAGTAGATGAACCTTAGGAACCTAGAAGTTCGGTTTCAACATACCTGGATCAGCCCAACACCGAGTACGACAGAGAAGTCCAACAATGATAGTGTCTGCAAGGCTCCTGACCAAGGTTCACGGCAGGGACTTGTTCTTCCATATGTTTCGGCACAGCTGCTGGGCGCTGTATTTGGAAAAGGATAAGCTCGGTCTCGGATTGAGTTCAACCCGCAGCAGTCAAACGCATCCTGAATACGTCTTATGCTGCTTGCATCATGAGCACGAAACATATCCATCCACTTTTTATCGAGCATGCATCCCGTCATTTCTGATGGCACTACGCGCTCTAGAAGTAATGTTGCCAGGATGGTGGTGATAAGAGCTTGAAGAACCTGGACAATCAAAGGAGCTAGCTTGGTTATGCCGCTAGAAGACGACTTGGTAGTACGGCTGATACTAGGATAGAAAGCTGTGTTAAGAAACCCCAGAATCGGGAGAATCAGTGTAAGAATCGACAGGGTTGGCGAGATAGCGAGTGAGAGGTTCGAACTGCGGACGTGCACGATTCTATACAAGAGTCAGACCTCACCTACTAACCTGACTTGACTGAGGCTCACATTGCTATTATGAGCAGCACAAGGCTGAGCTAAGGGACTTGGTCAGTCATAGATTATTAAAGTCCCGGTGTGCTCAATGATTGCCCTACCATCAAGTATAGAACTGTGGGGTGGATCATGTTGTTGTTCCTCGTACTCAAGTAGCTAAATTCAAGGCGGAAGATGCAAATTAGTATGGAATTGAAAAGAAGGATTTACAGGATGATGTTTCTTTTAACCGTCTAATCAATGACGAAGGCCTTCCCCGCCTTCATGCGGGAGGCCTACCGGGGAGGTGGTTGCCCAGAAATGATGGACGGATGTCTCTCTTATCTTACCTGCTAAGCCTGAACATGATGTGTCACGAATTCTAGTCTTATTTAAGTCAGTTGCATACATATACAGTGCTTGATTGCTTTGCCTTTTGACTCTACTAAGGGATGTTTCACCTACAGATGAGGTATATTGTGTTGCACAAAGGGAGATATTTCAGCACAACTAGCTCTGTAGTACATATAGCATTTGCAAAATAAATAAATTTACACTCCCACATATGAGACAGATTTCATGCCCGTTTTCCACTGAGATTGTTATGACTGCCAAAGCGAATGTGAAATCTCGCGAGGTTGGGCTTGCGAAAGAATGCATCAGTATCATATAATGTAGACAAAAGAGACGTAAGAGGAGATTGATTCATTGGTTTCTTGTTATGAAGGAACATAGAAAGGACATAAAAAGGATGTGAAAAACATGAAAGAAGGTCCGAACTGACGGAGATAGCTCATGATACAAGCTCAGATGTTAGTAATACCCGCCATTACTTGGAAGACTAAGATCAATGCTATTTGGCATCATTGCTGCTTTGTAGTCGAATTGTTGGTATGCTGCATCGTCTCCCAGAGACGTGGCCGAGCTGTCACTGGCTTGGTATGCGTCTGAGGAGTCCGTGGACTCATTCATATCAAACGTTTCCGAGTTATTCAGCATGGCCCCGTCGTCTATGGCTTGAAAGTCGAAAGGTTCTCCTCCCAAGTCTTCTGGGGCAAATGAATAACAGTCCAAGCAGGAGTAAAGCCCAAAATCGTCAGCTGCTGTGGACGTCTCCTCTGGGCTGAGTCCTGGGAAAGGAAGCTTATCTGCAATTATGCGTGGCAGCTCTTGCAGACGTTCCATGACAGTCACCTTCATTTGGGGTTCCCAGTCGTTGAATGCATCTTCTACTACCATGGCGACTTGGTGTTCAATTGCTGGCTTTGCCTTGATCCAGTAGTCACGCCATTCCTCAGGGTTTTCGACCTTGACGGCTGACGCCCGAGTGGTTGAGAGTGAAGGATCATAATCTTGGGATGACTCAGTCTTTGTATATTTTAGGGTGTTTGGGGAACAGATCTTGTAACTTACAAGGTGAAGGAATGTCAGGAGAATCAGGCTTGACATCAAATAGAGCACAATACCACTCCCTCCACTTCTCAACGGGGTTCATCCTCACTCTTGTTTTCAGTTTCTTTGCTTGGTCCTCGTCGTAGCCATCCAGAAGATTTCGCTTCAGGCTGCTTGTCTCTTTCACTGGGCACGGCGTCGTCATCCGTTGATGCTCCTTTAGATCTTTCTCATCGTCAAACCTGCGAAGGCATCGATTGCATTGATGTGGAGACAGACTATGTCTTCGCTCGAGATGTTCCCTAGATACCACTGTCAGTCAGTTGCCTAGTTAAGGGGTAAGTTGACTCACTTTACTCGGCCGATTTCAAGCCACCCCGGGCCACAGCATGTTCTCTCAGTTCCGAATCTCTTAGGGTCTCTTTGATGGTAAGGACAAGCAAACCGAGGGCGAGAGTCGTCCTTTGTGGTTTTTGTCCTCTTGTTATCCTTCTTTCTACGGAACTTGTCGTCTCCTTCGTCCTCATTCTCACTTTCGTCTCTGCCACTCTGACCTTTGGATCTCTTTTGGCCAGCTGACTGGGGTATGTGTCTTCCTGACTGAAAAGGACGCGAACTATGTGATCCGGAAGTATGCTCACACTCTTCCTCGAGTGCTTCCAGTCTTCTTTCAACACATTCCGAGATTGCAGCCATCAAATTATCAACGATATTCTGTTTACGCCGTCTCAGTTCTTTGTTGATGCAGTAGTCCAGGTAGGCCGCCGACGGGTTCGTGGGCTCGACGTCGGATTGACTGTGATCGGCGGCTTGCACTTCAACGCTGTGAGGAAAGGGCACGTTGAGAAGCTTTTCACACTTTTCTATGGCCTCGCGACGGATTCTTGCAGCGAGTGAATTGTCTTGACCGCGCCTTTTGTCGCGTCAGTGGCCTCATCATGAAGATGGGCTTTGATATGACAATGACTTACTGAGCGCCAGGCGAACCTCGACGGCCCTGACCGCTCTCCTGGTCGTTGCTGGCCCGGGGTTTAGTTGATTCACCACTTGAAGGATTCTGGAGGCACAGTCAGTACATGCCCAACAGTTTGAAGTGAGAGTGTGTGGTACTTGTTGAGAGTGGTGACTCTGAGTGTGTTCGGGTGATGCGGAAGACCTCTTGTTTCTAGCTACAAAGATTTGTTCTTCCGAATCTTGCTGAGGCATATCCGATCGCTGGTAAACCAGACGACGGTGTTGAATCAAGGAGGAGAAGTTGAATTGATGGCAGAGTTTTGTGAACCGTTTCTTTCCTGCAAGGTATCGGTTTGCGAAGGCGTAGCGTTTGTGTTGCAAGGAGAATTGACTTGCTTTGTCCACCACAGAGGGCATTATCAAAAGTTGGCTGATTGATTCATTTGCATATTTAGTTCTAGCTCAGTTGATGCGTGACTTTGTTGTTGCAAATAAACAGTGTCCAGAAGGGCTTTGAATGGAATTTTGCCTGATTTTGAAGATAAAGTGTCTCAAAACAATCTTCATGGAACAAAAGTCTGGCGGGCACAAAGACGGGGATTGTGACGTTTAAATAGTTGGTGAGAGCCTCACGATAGTCCTTTCACATTCAATCTCCCGCAATTGCGAACTCCGCAAAGCCGGGTGTGGCTTCTCCGAGTGAGATCGCACACTGATAGGACTCATCTGGAGCTGGAATCATATTGGATGACAATCATTCAGAAGCTTCGTGAATGGCCAGGAGGAGTGATCTCGCGGGCACCAGTGGGCTATTGAGTACCTCAACTCTCATGCAGGTAAGTCGAGTATGTGTGTCATGTTACATGTATGACTTACTCGTCAACACATCAGATCAATTCAACGAATCGAAAGCCTCAATTTGGCGTCAGTTGTAAACAAGACGATGCCGTTTTGGGTTTCTTCAGCGCCTATCAATATGCTGCAGCAGGTGAGGCGACAGCATAATGGTTCGCAAGCTTCCACAAAGCAATTCGAGTGGTTGTTCATGACGCGACCCCCGCGCTGAAATGCAACTATCAAGTGAACACTGCAGATAACAAAGCATGTCAGATGCACAGCGGTTTGGTCTATTTGGGACACCGAATCTTGAATGCCTCGAACGGAGGAAATCCGAGTACCACGTATCGGCTTCAAAGGTGAGTATGTACTTCGCAAGGATTTCGACGGGTCTCCTCGAGAGGTATTGTGTTTTTGGAATCTCTAATTTCTGGTGCTCCCGGCTGAAGCTATAAGCCAGGAGAAAAGTGGTCGACGAAAGCGTCGTGCTGAGCATGAACAATGTCCTCAGAGTCCGCCAACAACAACGTGTCATCAGTAGACTTATCATTGAGTTTCGCCTGTTCTTCCGCTAATCATTTCTTGACCTTTGAGAAGTCAACATACGATCACCCCTCTGAGTCGGATCCAGGCCACGGTCGATGCACTCGCAGGTGACTGCCTCCGGGGTCTTCTTTCGAGGATGTTAAATTTTGGCCGTTATGTGAAGTATGTCGGAAGTATGGAGCTGGACTGGATTGGAGACCCTTTTCTGAACATGTCATTCATCACGATACAGGCGTACTTTTCTGTGGTTGAATCAAGTAGGGACCAGCCCTGGCTCCAGTCATTGACTGTAACAGAAGTGACAATGCCTTCATGATGAGGACGTCCCACAATAAGGTTCCTTTCCTCATACCGTCTTGAAGCATAGCTTTGATCAATGAAGCCAACGATTTCACTAGTAACCCTATAGTTGCGGTTGCGAGGATATCAAGTGAGTATTCTTCCTCCAAGAGGTCAACGAAAGTGAATTCTGGTAGTAAATGGTCAGTGAAATCAAGTAGAGTAGAATATATATGTTGATTGACTCACCTATTCTGATCGCTTCATGTTGATTAATGATCAAATCTTTGTACCGGAATTTGAGATTCTTCTGGACGAGTGACAGACCGACAGGCACATATTAATGCTGAGTGGCACCATCATCGCCTTGTCCTTTCACTTTTCCAGATGTGTATCGAATGAAAAGCGCCAGGTCATGGCAGGTTGGTGTGTCTGTCAGCCTGAACTGGTTAGCGAAATACAAACTTGTGACGATAGAGCTCACTCTTGTTTCAAACTCTGTTTGCGAAAAGTGCCGAACCTTTCACACGAGAAGTCTTTCTGATTATCAGATCCGGAAACTCCAGTAAGAGGAACCATTTTAGCAATGTCGCTCTCATATCGAGCTAGGTCCTCGGTTGTCGTTTTACTGGCGCCTTCAGAAGTAGTTTTTCGCTTCTGGGATACAGAGCTAGGATATTCTGGCGTAACATGATCACGATTGGAATGACCGTTGCCTGTGAAGACCTGCATCATGGCCCAAATGAGTGGTGCCAGGGACGATCAAGGTGGAGGAGTGAGTGTGAGGTGAGGATGATAGAGAAGGGTGCGAGATGGATGATGAAACGAGAAGAAGTTTGATGGGGAGAGAAAAGAGGAGAGAAATTGATGGAAGCCATGAGAAAACAAAGCTTGAGGCAGGCTCATCTCCTTGGAAGGAAGGAAGAGCCGCTTGGCGGAGAGAATAAGATACGGGCACCTGAAGGAAGCCATGACACGAAACTTTTGGGTCAAGTGCATAGGTAGGTTGTTGTTGAAAGGCATAAAGGTAAGGGAGGGAACCTGGCATAGTCCAGGATTTGAAAGGTAGGTACGGACACCATATGCCGAATGTGTCAAATAATCAAAGGTGCAGGTCTTTGCTTATTCGAGGTACCTGGTATGATAGACGAGGAAGATGTTTGAGTTGTACTTCAGTGAAAATAAGCTCTTCAAGGCCGCAGAAGCCCCCCTTTCGGGTTGATTGGTGAGTTGGTAAGTCAATAGACGCTCTTTAAGGCCGCGCATGCCCCCTTACGGTAGATAAGTTTGGTAAGTCAATAAACGCTCTTCTAGGCCGCGAAAGCCCCCCCTCTGGGTTGGTTGATTGATTTGTAAGTCAAAACATGTTCTTTATAATTGCGCGTGTCTATCATAGAATTAGCGCTTGCTCATGTAGTCAATAGAAGATGCGTACCTTAACGTCGGTGCCTCGAGGTGACTGCATACTGCATGGTCGTGAATGACAGCAAAAGCCGCCATTGAAATGTCTGTTAAAAGTCTCAAGCCGAATCTGTCACGATGGAAGTGGACCAAGAGACCAGCATGTGCCAGAGCGTTGGTGATTCCAACTCGGGCGCAAGATGGCCAAGTCGCAGGTGACAGGATGCAAATGACGACCCTCCGTAACATAGCGCTGAGGGCACATTCACTCCAGTGGACGGATTACCACTGCGCGTTTCCCATCCAGTGACGAATTTGGGCTCGCTGTTGCCGAAAGCCCATGCAACTCCAGAAGGGCTGATTCGTTTGGATGAGCCAGGGAAGTCGTAGAAAGAGGAACGAACTTACATATTGCTCAGGTAGATGGCGATGGCCTAGTAGGCGAGCCTCGGCCAGAGGCCATAGCCGAAAGAGGGTTATGAGCTCACTCACTGAAGATTTTGTCGAACGACGAAGTGTGAAGAAATAAAAATGATGAGGGTAAATAAAATTTTGACGATGGGAGGGGAGAGATAAGTGAGGAAGTGAAGGAGAGAAAGAAGGGTAGTTAAGTGGGGGCGTGATTCAGTGAAGCAAGCATCGCCAGTGCCAGCAAGTGCCAGCAGGCGCTGGTAGATATTGTCTAAGGTACCTGGTAGGTAGGTACTAAGTACGATGGATAATAGGTATTTCAAGAGACAATAAGGGTAGTGGCTAGGAGAGACTCCAGTCCATTGTTGATTACTTGATGGGTGGATATGTGTGAATATCTAAGGCAGGTAAGTAAGGTAGTTAGTCTCTGAGGCTTTCTCTATAGATACCAACGGGACATATTTGACTCACAAGATAATACTAACGAATGAATAGCTAGCAGGTAAGTCAATAGGTCGCTCTTCAAGGCCGCGGGAAACCCCCCCCCCCCCCCCCCCCCTCGGGGGTAGATGAGATGGTCGGCAAGTCACAATACGCTCTCCGCTGTCGATCATCCCTTTCTCGCTGTGGTTTGGTCTAAGTTTTGTAGTCTCGGTGAGCCTGTTCAATCTGTAAGGCCGACAAGCCAAGATTGGATTTGGTCGTGAACAACAATGAAATAATAAGTTAGGCTGCCTAGAGTTTTTTCGAGAAGACTGGGCAGTTTATGGTCATGTCCGAGGACCATAGTGGTGATAGTAAAAATTTCAGGAGGTAAGAGACTACTAGAGCAAAAGAGAATTTTAGGTTACCTACAGTTGACCTGATAATTGAGTGCTTGGGACAGCCCCTTGCCAAGTACCTACCCAACCTTCCTGTGGCCACCTAACTACCTGATATTCAGTTTCTGGCATTACTCAAGCTTGCCATCACTTTGGATAGGGCGAACCAACTTCCCAAAGTGCCCGGGGACTGGCTCACATCCAACTCGCCCTCGCAGGATTTAAAGAAATTGCCTTGTAATACTGCGATTGCCGTCCATGGTCACCAACGGATGCTTTTTGCTTACATATATGACAATGGTAGGGCTGCGAGCAATGAGGGTCGTGAAGGGGAGGAGATCGATGTGGCCACGAAGGATATCATGAACCGAGGGGTTTTGTTGATCCTGCCGCTCTTGCTGGTTGAAAGCCTGCGTTGTAGTATTCCGCTTCCCGCTGTTGGGCATAGAGATCGTGGCGGCTGGGTACCTCGCTGATATCGTGGTGGTCTTCGGCAAGTCCGTATACCGGGCTTTGTTGCAGTCGCAGAACCTAGGCAATACGGAGTATTTGGAGCAGATGGTAACGTTTACCAGGTCTTGCGGCCACGAGAACCTCGATCCTTATACGTTTAACTTCTGTATCGCCATAGGTATTGACTCGGTCTTAGACACCCTTGGTCCCGCCCTCACACCAGACGCCCCTCGATAATAATATTCGAGTAAAATGCCTTAGGTAGGTAGTGCTGCTTGATTTACAGTACTCCTTTTCCCCTGTAGTTGCACTTGGCAGTCCTCCAACATGATCTTCTGCCCGTTCACTAATATATACGCATTAGGTCACTCCGCCGTACTAACTAAATCAACCAAGGCATTGATGACCGAACTGTATGAGTGAGTAAAGTATTTATACTTGGGTTTTCTTTGAGCCATGGAAGGGACGTTGAATAAGTTACATAAGCTTGTATGGTCTGTCGACCTCGTTTAGGATCCTCCACTATACTCCGTATAAGCTATGATTTCCACGTTTACCCTGTTTCTGGTCCGAGAATCCATCAGTTGTCGACAAACACAGTGAAACTGGATCTCTGCCCTTGTCGACTTTATGCTCCATGGCAGGCATGGCCATTTGAATCGGCATTTGGTTCGATACCTAAAGGTAGGGAAGATAGTCAATCAGTCTCCACGCTTCTGCTCCCCTGACGGGCCCGTAACAGAGTTCTTTGAATTCTCCCGTCAGGTTAAGGCAAGCTGTATCCTAAGAAATGAGGATACTTAGACAATTTTAGGATAATTTAGGATTTTTATGAAGAACTTAGGTTATCTTTAGAGTACCTAGGTTATTTGAACACCACACTAATTCAATTAACGTCTTCCTGGCGTGCCTGGATGGGATTTCATTGAGATCACGCCGCCGAGAATAACGAGTATCGGCCACGACCAGGCTCCTTAGAGGTACCTATAGCCAGGACAGTGGGAGACGCTAAAAGACAGTGCCCGTTCCTGAATACGCAGGTACCTAACGTAGTAGTCCCCCATCCCAATTTCACGCTCCGCTTATTACCTTATTATCTTGGGTTCAGCTGGAAGCCCAAGCTCGACGCGTAAAAGTGCGCGGGCCTACACAAACGTCATAGTTCGGCAGTCGTTGCTTTTACCTTCTTTTCTTTGCTTTGCCTTGGCTGGCATTTTAAAGCTTCCAGCAATTTCTTCCGAGGTTCTCAACTTAATTTCCTTCAGAAGAGATGTCAGGTTGGTCTTGGTCGCCTAGACAGGCCATGCTACAAATGAGCCAGCCAGAGATGAATCACCAACCGCGTCCTACTATTCCGCCACAGAGCCTACCAAGCATGCCAGCTCTCAACCTACCTCATCCACCTGCTCCAAACCCAGCCCTGCCTGTCTATAACCATCAGCCTGTCTATAGCAAGCCTGGTCCTTTACCTGTTTCCAACAACCCTGTGCCCCCTCCTATTCCTGTTCCTGTTCCTGGTCCCATCCCCAATAACTCAACTTCTCCTGCCTACTACAACCCACCACCACCATTTGTTCCGCACTCATCCGGGGCTCAAGCACCAGGCGGTCCACCTCCACTTGTGAATACCTCATCCATGGCAAGAGGAAACCCTTCTGGAGCACCGCCAATCCCTGCTCCAGCTCCAGCTGCGACAACCACAAGCTCTAGGAAGCGCAAGTCCGATGTTGGTCCCGACAACGTCCAAGAGAATCTTTTCCCAGACAATGTGCCGGATATAGACAGCGAAGATGAACGTCTAGCTCTTCATGACTCAGACACTTGCAACGCCATTCGTCGTAAGATTCGTAACTGGATCGATTCAGGCGCTCAAAAAGTTGGCGAGTTTCAGAAAACCATTGGAGTTAGTGGTAAATCCTACAATAGCTTCATGAACCGAACTGGCACATGGGATGGCGAGAACACCGGTACGTACATCAAAGCCCATCTTTTCTTCAAAAAGCGCGAGCTTCAGGGGCTCCCCCTCAAAGCCAACAAACCCAAGAAAGCAAAGACAGCCGCTTCCGCCAAGGCCCTCGAAGAAATTCTTGATGTGAGCAACGTGGACCCCCTTCCTGGTAAGGCAGACGGAACAGTTCCCGTTTACGACACCTGCGACGAGATCCGCAAGAAGATTCGGCCTATCTTAGCCAAGGAGGGAATGACTCAAGCAGCTTTCATCCGCGCTCTCAATAAGAACCTGCCTGAAGGAAAAAGCGTATCCCCGGCCAATATGCGGTACTTCATGGGCCGAAAGGGAGTCCGCGATGGCAATACCAACATCACCTTCTATGCAGCTTATGTTTTCTTCGAAAAGAAGCGTATTCAGGCTGGCAAGCCCAAGACTCAATTCCGCCAAAAGATGGAGAAGGCATGGGGCAACAAAGGTTTTGATATTGAGCATGGGGCCAACCAACAGTACACTTGTTTTGCTGGTGAAGAGCCAGTAGTGGATGAGTTTGGCAAAATTGACTTTGTTGTGACAGGACGACGGAGGTGAGAAAGACGCACGTGCTTGTGAAAAGAAGAGGGGGAAACCTAAGCGGAGGGGATATTTCAAGCATGTTGGTGTTTTCTGATACCATAGCATTTGAGCTGATTTGGATGTGTCATCTACATGAACAAATGTCTGAATAGCAAAGAGTATAGCAAAAGGGCGTGTCTGACGGGTTTGGTCCTAATCTATATCTAGCAAAGGAAAAGCATTGTCACCCATGGCCTCCTCAATTCTCTTCATAATTGCCAGTACCTTCTCCTCTTCTAACCGGCGGCCAACTACTTGAACACCTACGGGTAACCCATGCATGGCGTTCGCATCATACAGTTTGTATGCGCCCTGCGCAATGCCGTTGAGACTATTGAGGCTAAAGTCTCCTGGCAATTGATCCCGCATCTTGTCGACATGTGTCACGGGCAAGACGCCAGCGGTATAGTCGAGCTGTCCCAGGTCAGCTTTGTTATGTTAGCTCCCCTTATTGATGAACGTACCAGGTTGAACAAGAAGGTGTAGCCACAGCTGCTACATGCATCATGCATGCCCCTATGAGGAACAGCTGGAGTAGCATTGGGAGGGGTGATCAAGCAGTCAATACCGGAGTGTTCCCACCACTCAAACCACTTCCTCTTGTAAAGCTCGCGCTTGGCATTGAGTTGCCAGATCTCGTATCCAGATTGAGGATGCCAGTTCCGCAAGAGTCCAGCCCATATGGCGTCTCCTCGAACATACTTGACCCAAAGGTAGTGCAAGTACTTGACTGGTCGAGGAAGGCTGAAATAGAAGCTCATTTGGGCAGCACCTCGATCGTTCCACTCTCCCCAACGAAAGAAGGATTTGACAGTCTGGAGGCCGTCGCTGCAGAGAAGGATTGAGGCTAGACATAGAGCTTCATAAGGGGAAGGGGGATCAATCTCCACGATCTCGTGGCCTGCGTGTCGTAGAGCAGATTCGGTCATTTCTAATGCTCTTCGGCAAGCGGGACTGGGATCCACGACGCCGTCTGTTCGAAGGATTCCGACTCGCAAGTTCCTCTTCTCGGAGAACTCTTTCTCAATATCGGTTCTCCAAGGTAATGGATGACAAGAATAGTCATAAGTCCAAGGTTTCATCTGGATGATCGATCGAGTGAAATAGGTCAGATCGTTGAGCGTACGCGCCATGGGACTATACACTGCAGGAACACCATCCTGCCCTGGCATGCTTGTTACCACCCCTGTCTTGAGCCATCTTCCTGTTGAGCATTTGAGTGCATAGCAGCCAGAGAAGTGAGCTGGGCAGCGAACACTTCCAGCAACATCACTTCCAATTCCAATTCGGCCTCCCAATGCCAGCAAGGCACCTTCACCTCCTGTTGAACCACCAGCGGTGTAGATTTTGTTGTATGGATTCGATGTCTCGCCCCATATGTCATTAGTTGACTCGAAACTCAGGAGTGTGATGGGGACATTGGTCTTGACATACGGAACAGCCCCAGCGTCTTTGAGTATTCTGACAGTATTTCCATCGTGTGCAAGGGGCTTCCCCGCATGTGTGCTCATACCTACAGTGCTGTCGTATCCTTCCACTTCAACCGTGTCTTTCAGGCTGACAGGTATGCCAGCTAGAGGCCCTTTGAGGTTGAGGGAGCCATCTATGAGCCATTGCTCAGCCGAAGAAAGCATGATTTCTGTTACACAGTTCGTTCTTTCGTGTGCCCTGAGGGCAACCTTGCCATATGCATGAAGAATATCTGAAGCCTTACTTGAATCTTTTTGGACAGCTTGGACTAATTCTTCAATTGGCGTATTCACAATCTCTCGGTCCAGGACAGTGAAAGGAGCATGATATGATGCCAGTCTCTTGATGCGAGATGTTCGTTCTTCTTGCTTGAACTGGCTTCAATAGTATTAGCAAGATATGTTATTCGAGTAAGCACTCTTGTGTTATATGGAGAGATTGGCAATCTTGAAGGGGCCCTACCAAGCTCGACGATGTCGCAGGTAGTCTAAGAGCACCATTATGGTCACAGTCCGTTCGAGGGACTGAACAATCAGTTGCGGTAAAGTTTTTAGCCAAATTAATTAAAGAATAAAAGGAGAGTTCTATGTCAATAGAGACGAGCTCAGTGGTATAGCAGTGTTACAAGGACGAAATATGGTCACGAGACAGAACAATAGATAGCACTCTTTAGTGAGCTTCCTGATGGAAGGACCCGCTGATAACCGGTCAAAATCCCCGCATCAACTCCACTGCTATTATCTTCAGTCTGGGGAATTAGCACCAACAAGTGGAACTCTATCGGAATACAAAGGAAAGGCGGTCGATGAAGAGACGTTTTTCGAGAATTGATGTATTCTTGAGAATGAAATATCGTCTTTGAATCTGAGTTGAAGAAAAAATCTTGTGTTTATTATTTTAGCTCTTCTGTTCTTTCGAAGTTTGTGTGGTTACATTGCATAACTACAAGCGGTTGATAGGAGTTGCACCTCCGAAGCCTGCGGAGCCCATCACATAGACTAGATAGTAACTTGCAGCTCTCTCATTTGATATTGGATATTCTCCACCACTAGGCGTAACAAGACAGGAAACGTGACTGTTGTTTGTCGATGCAAGAAATAATTGGAATGTGCTGTGATGTTAGTCTTATCCCGGTTGTGAAAGTTCATGATGTCATTGACACACAACCTTGGTCCTTACATGAATAGACGCTCATAGAGAGTTTCTCCTAACGAAATTATGTCAAGTCAACTCACTCATGAACCTTGTATTCAGTGTCGACATTCAAGGAGGCCAACTGTAGGCATGTAGGTCGACGAGATGATTGGACTTGTAAGATCAAGGTTTGAGCTGACCTGAGAGTTCACAATTAGAGATGTGGAACTGGGTCATTACTTGACCTTATTTGATAATTCTGAGGAGCAAACTTTATATATCAAAGTAACATTATGATTCCTGAAGAGCCTAGGCTCTCTCATAAAGTCTTCTGGGGGGGTAGACTACTAGCCTGGCAATATAGCCTTTGTATATGCTTATGATACATCTTGTTTGCTGTCTCGTGATAAGTCCCGGGATAATTTTCGCAAATATTTTGCTAAAGCCTTTGGTGATAATGAAAAGGCAATATTGGCACGGCAAACATTCATACTGTTGCATCCTGTATTCTAAGATTAGACACATGAATACGAGCCTTGATAGGGATGTTCCTTGGCTACACAACTAACAAAATAGAAAGAAGAAAGTCGATAGTCAACAAGAATATAGTGTCTATTCCATTTCGCCAATTCACTCACAAGAACCTTCAATCCTAGTATGATCTACCTTCGTCTAGATACCCGACCTCGGGTAAGTTACGACCGGAGGACTAAGCCCCGTGCTCCGGCGCGGAGATCGGATGGCCCGTGCGCGGAAAAGAGGTTGGGTATCAGAAGCTTTTGTACCTAGTTCTCCACTAGCATGAAGGTCACCGTCATATGAGAAGAGCCTGTAACAATCTTTTCTCTTTCACCAACCACCACCATGTCGGTCGATCCGCAGCAGCTGTTGGACACGGTAAGACATGCGGCTCTTATCCCTCAAGACATTTTACTTATTCTGCTGTAGCTCTCGAGCCAGGTTCGCCAATACGCCGACGTTGCTTCCGAGTTCATTGATAAGAATGTCGACCGCGCCGCTGTAGTCGTCAGAGAGACTCTGTCCACCTCGGAATGGGTGCCAGAGTCTGTCAGGCCTAAGCCTGCGGTGAAAGAAGTGGTGGCGGTCGTTTCTTTGGGGCGCTTCGAAAGGCTCCAAAACTGGATTGCCGAGCACAAAATTTTGACTGGAATGATTGTCTTGACCTGCGGAACCGTCGTTTATAAAGGATACTATGAAAGTCGCTCAATGAGAAAGACAAGACGAGCGAGAAGGGCACGAAATGGCGGGCGTACCGATGTCGTCGTTATCGCCGGGTCTCCATCTCTTCCTTTGACAAGGTCTTTGTCTTTGGACATGGAGAGACGGGGTTTCATCGTCTTCATCGTTTGCAACGCCGCTGAGGACGAGTCCATGGTCCAGGCTATGAAGCGACCCGATGTTCGACCTCTGAGCATTGATACCACTGACGTGAGTTTGCCGTATGGGCTTTCGTGTGAGTATACTGACATTTCCCTAGCCTCCTAATGCTGGCTCTGCCATCGAACATTTTGCCCACTTCCTCCAGTCACCTCAAGCTCCTGGCCCTGGAATGAAGCCCAACCAGCTCACTCTGAAATCCGTTATCCTGATCCCGAGCCTCCACTACCAGACTTCTCCTATCGCGACCATCCCACCATCCAGCTTTGCCGACCTTTTCAATACCCACCTCCTCCAGCCCATCCTTACAATCCAGGCTTTCCTACCACTACTCACATCCCGCTTGAACCCCATCGGAGAAAAATGGATTCCTCCCAAGGTTCTTGTCTTTACTCCCTCTATCATTTCCTCTATCAACCCTCCATTTCATGCGCCTGAGGCTACCGTTTGCTCGGCCCTGTCCGCTTTCACGGAAGTCCTCACCGCCGAACTTAGGCCCCTCGATATTCCGGTGACCCACATGCAGCTCGGCACGTTCGACTTCTCCAGTTTCGTCCCGACTCGTGGCGGTCCCAACCAAGGCCTCGTCACCGCAGGAAACCCTGAGTCTCCTCTTGTCTGGCCTGAGGGCGCCCGACACGTGTATGCTCGAAACTTTGTCGCACAAACTAGCTCTGCTATCTCCGGAGGTCGCATCCGCGGACTGAAGGGAAGCTCGCTTCGACGCCTCCACAACTCTGTTTTCGATGTGATTGATGGTTCTATCACTGCTGACACCGTACGAGTCGGCCTCGGTGCCAGCGTGTACGGCTTCGTCGGACGATGGGCTCCCCGAGGCCTCGTCTCATGGATGATGGGCATCCGCCGAGTTGACGAGCTCTCCACATGGAAGACAAGCTCATATGAAGGTTCAGAAAGCAGTGATGAGGATGATGAGAGCGAGAAGGGCGAAGGAGAATCAAGCGAGTTCGTCGCCGTCCCATCAGACGCTAACGTCTGGCATGCTGACAACGAGGGAGCTATGTGGACTCCCCAGGCATCTGAGACCGCTTGAGCGATGAAGATTGAAATTTATGCTGGATATCCGATGTGAATTGGATCTGCATGACACGCATTATGATGGGAAATGTAAAACGTTCGATTTTGTTACATATAGACGCCGTCACGACTCCAACTCTTGAATGATTTTTTAACACTGTGGCCGTTGGAAAAATACAAATCCAGTTGCCTTACTTTCGACCATTGCTTTGAGGTTCACAGTTACAATGAAATTATTGACATGAGAATCTCGTGGGTATCATCGCCAACTGAGTAAAAGTACAACAAGTAAATATGTGACTTAGTGACCTCTTCCGCGGTAACGGCCTCTTCCTCGCCATTTGCCTCGACCACCATGACTGCCATGACCTCCTCTGTGTCTGCCTCCATCATCGCGATCTCTATCTCTCTGTTGGTCGCGTGACCTGTCCATATCATCCTGCGCAGAATCCATCCGCATGTCGTCGTCTTTCTTCTCCTCTGACTTGAGGGTTGGCTTCTCCAGGTCCTTTGACCACTTGGGGTGGGCGCCTTCCTTGCATTCAGGTCCATCAGGACAGAAACCCGCCAGGTAAAACACACAGAGCTTCCTACGCACGTGCTTCTTTGAACAGTTTGGTCCGAGGGGGCAGAACCCCATATCGTAGTGAGGGCAGGGTGGCAGCCGACTTTGGGGATCGATGTGCAGGTATAGGCATTCGTCACCGTTCGAGCAATACCCGTTTCGCATGAAGAAATTACACTCTGGCATCTTTCGAAGGTTGTACTCGTGGAGGAACTCGCAATGCTCGCCCTTCTTGCACAGGCCACGCAACCAATGTTTACACACGAGTGAGTTGAGACCACCACTCGGCTGCGACGTCTTGGAATCGGAGACGTGACGTTCGGGGCATCGTGTGCCGTTGGGGCAGTGACCCGACTGGAAGGCTTTGCATATTGGCCGGTCGGGAGACAGACCGACCTGGTACGTTTGTCGAAGAAATGGCGAGAAGCGGAAGTTGTAGGGCGTGGCAGAGTGGTTGAGGATGGCGGCGGCAGGAGATTCGACGGCGCCGGGCATGGTGTGCGAGAATGGCGCAGGCTGATCGCCTACAGAGGACGGAGCTGTTGATTTATTTCTAGTAATTTTCTTTCAATATTCCGCGTCAGGTGGTTGTGGATGCTGTTTAATGCGCGCTGCAATAGTTGCTCTGTTGATGTCAAGGTCAAGATTTAGGCCGAAGCTTTGGTCGCTAACATTTTCCAGAGCTGCAGGTACAGACTATGTACAGTGCGGCGATCGAGGTTTGTCAGCGGCGAGAATCGCCGCTAACCCAACGTCACTCCACACAAGCTTCCATTGCTTGAACTTGAGCTTCACTATCCTCACACGCCATCTTTAAGGGATTGTTTGTTTCATGAGGCAGCGTCGTATTATTTTAACTGTGATCTATCTCTTCCAATAGGGACATGAAGGAAAGGAAGCGTTGACTTCTGTGGTAAACTGTTGTCATCGCTATTGCAAGTGCTTTAGCAAGACACAGCAGGAACCAGGCGCCTCCTCATATGCTGTCCATGAAAGTCATCCAGCCTCAGCAACCACAAACTTCGAGAGAAATCACGAATCAAAACCAAGACTCGCTACGGAGCTTTGGTCCCCATACTTCTGGCCATAAACGATACGACAATTCATGTATCGATGACCTTTATCCTCCCTGAGGCTCTTATAAGCCTGAGAGGCCATCTCTTTTCGCTCTTCTTCTGGTATCCCTAGGGCTATCAACGGCTTGACAGCCATCGAACCGATCAGATCCATGATGTTGGCTTCCATCAACTTCCCCAAGTCCTTCATTCCTTCATCCTGTGGCCAGCATGAGATAGGCACCTTCTCACTCACCGCCTGAACTCGAGTGAAGCCAGCGGCTATGAGACTTTTCCGAACGTCTTTCTTGCCAAAGTTGGTACACCCGTATTTCCGTATCCCCTGAGCGCATGTGTCGAAGAAAACTCGCAATGGATCGTCTTTCTGCATGGTGCCATCATCGCAGCGAACTGTGTAGTCAAAATCTTGAAACTCGATCCATCCGCCCTCCTTCAGATGTCTTCCCTTTATTAGCTGGGCATCACATATTAGGCATTCAACTCACTCGTGGGCATTAGCAACCATTGCGTCCAAGTCAAGAAGAAATCCGACCATTCCCCTGAGATGAACCATGTCAAAGTCCTTGCCGCTGGCCCAGTAGGGGTCCTCGCAGTCTTCAACAAACATGGATGCATTCGGAGGCATTGATTTAGGTTGGATGGGTGATAGATCGGTTCCTATCACGCTGGTCTGGTCATACTCATCTGCCACTAGATCTTGTTAGAAAAGTAGCTGGAATATTTCCATACTAGCTCACCGTCCATCACCCATGCCCCTACAAACAGTAAGTACAAAACAGCCAACAGTGCATTTGGCACTCACCGTTTCCTGTCCCGAGATCGATTATCTTCTTCGCGTCTTTGTCAACTTCGGATAGAAAGAGTTTGCCATCCTGCATCAACCACGTGGTTAGCTGTTGCTTCGACTCTAGTTACTGTTGCCCAATAATCTTGACATACCAGAAGTTGCTGCATCAGGAAATGCTCAGCTAGCTCGCGACACTGCTCGCCCTCGTCATTGGGGAGCGGATATCTGCCAGCCAAATAGGCGTGATAGCGTCGGCCATGAGAGTGCTCATAGTCGAATATGCTGGCTGCTAATGAAGTGCAACAGCTTGAATCATCGTCTTGTTGCAAGCATTCAGAACGAGCATCGTCAAACACAAGCTCATATTCATCCGTGTCTTGGTCCGTTGGGGTGTATATCGTTTCGATACCCGGCTCGGAAATGATCGAGAAAGAGTGACTATCAGTCTCTGGCATCTTGGCAGTGAACTTGTACAAGGAACTTGAAAGGAAGACAACACAGCTATACAAAATAGGGACTCGGCACTGTTTATCATCTGTTGGGACGCTCTACGAAGGTTGCGCCACATTGAATCATCTCTGTGAAACCAGCCAAGTACACAAGGGATGGGCATTTCTGGCTTCAGTATTATCAATATATGCGGGAGGTCATCTGCACGGTTGCTACCGTGATGGTGACCCCTCTTTCTGGCAGGACTTCATCTCTTAACATTGGTGAGATAGGCCTCATGTGGTATGTTTCGCTACAGCCTACGTGCTTGTGCGGGTTGTTGGTGATAAGCTATGCGGATGGCGCATAACGACAATATGCGATTCGACTGTTGGTCCGGATTGCGAAGAAGGGGGGGCCAACTATGTTTGTTTGCTTCCCATGGGGCGCCGTGCCGAAGTGAGGCGAAGAGATCCCTCAATGAACTTAAAACCGAAACAAAATTCAAGTCAGTTGGTCATACTACATTTCATCGATGGTTAGTTGGAAAAGGAAGTTGATTGTGGTCATGATATCTGTGCTTTGTTGAAGACGCAAACAATGGTCAACACTATCGTTTGGCAGATCTCAAACCGGCATTGGTTAATCAAGTAGGACTCGACATGGATGTACGGGCTGTCTCTCTCGTCGCTTACTGTTGGGCAAGGTTGCCTTACACATGTCCGAAGGAGTCTTGTCCGCCCCCAGCTCTCCACCATATTGCCGATCACTTGTTGGTCTCACACATTGAACCAACACTTGCTTTTTCGCTCTCACTGACAAGTATCCGCGTCAGCCATTGATGTTTCTACACTAGCCACCAGGGATTACCTTTGGGTATCGCACAATACTCACTTAGCCAGAAGGCACCACAGATACGCCAATGCATCTCAAATGAAGATATGTCCATACACATGCGTTTCTTGGCTCTATTTCAAGTGCCAAACAGTCAGACTTGCATTGCCCGATACTATATTGGGAGAGAGTTCATATGCCCACTCAACACCGTGTCTAGGTCAGCGATCAATACCATGACTTATTGGTAGGTCAATCTAACAGATCTTATGCCATGTTATTGAAGCGGAAGCTAATCCATAGGTAATACAGATATGCCTCGAGCAAGTCCAGTCAAAGAACATTCAGACAACCAGCTATATGGACGGAATGACTTCTGGTGCCTTTCTCAGGTCAATCGAATTCAGCAGCCTCTAGGGACCTGAAGTTCTAGGATTGTCTATGCCACTATGGCTGTATGTACAAATCGTTGAAGTCGACAGGGCCATCGTTGAATTCCATTTTAGAGCACAGCGGCTTCTAGAAGCGGCGCTAACATTCATCCCCGTCCCGGAAGGACTCTGGTAGGCTATCAACTCCAAATCCCCAGACTGTCACTGTTGTGCGCAAGTGCTTGCTAGCCTTCAGGTACCTTAATCAATGGCTTGCCTCAATTTGACTTGCAACGGCACCTATTCATGCATATACATCCATGTGATGGCAGATTCAGGTTGTCGAGCTTGCCTCAGCCTCGAAGCTGGGGATTGATGCATTGGCGAGACTAAAATCATTCGGAATTGTCACTGCTAGAGACGGTAAAAGCACCCGGCCCTGGCTCAACTGTATCAGACAAGGACGGGCAAGCTAACAGTGGAAGTCAGAGTGTTTGGCCCACTGAATATTGCGCCCAAATCTCATCGTCATCCCCTGGGCCTGGCGGTTTTAATTATGGAACCAATCTCACCATCTGTGGTAGCGCGTTCCAAACGTCCGTCGACCTTCCAGAAGTTTGATGGCAGGGCGAATCCATGGAGCCGCACGGTTGTTGAACACGCTTATCGGGAAGTTGTGTTACTTTATGACTCGGCGCTTCTCGTACAACCCTCGCCCAAAGATGCTGTACCTGGATTGTCCCGGTCGCCAAAATGGACGTTGCGACATCAAGAACAATGCTGCGTGCGTGCTTCCTGGCTGAGACAGTTTCATCCCTTGGGCAATGCTGTTCCCAAGCAGAGCGGCGAGCTCGCCTTGATCCTGCAGCGATTGATTGGAAGCCGAGCCCTGTTCAGTATTGCCTTTTGTTTGCCCGAGGCATATGACACCTCGGATCGCATCGCGGCTCATCTTGAGAACATGACAACGCCTCGCTATGCTGTTTTTAGGTATTGGAGACGTGTCTCATTTGCGGGCCTGCATGTCAACGTGTTTCACCTTCGCAAATCATGGCAGGGCCATTTAATGGCTCGGAGAGGCCGCAACGTCAATGCTTCACTTCATCATACCCATTTCCCTTAGCAAAGATGGAAGCTCAGCTCATCTCGTGGTTGGAAACATCTACCTACTGGACAGCCCCAACAGCTCAGGGTCTTGTACGGACCGCGCTCGAAGAGGAAAAGAGTATTCCTCGCCCCGGATCTCCAACTCCATTCGAAGTTGGGTTGCCAAGCCAAGCATCCGTCATTTCATGAGGCACATATTACACCTTCTTAACAAGGCCCGAATTGGCGTGGTCAAAGCATTGAAAAGTCGGGCTAACAACAAACGAGGGCAATTTCACGGTCTCCCAAGAAGCCACAGCTTCCTCAGCTCTGACAGCCAGCAACGCTCTTGTGTTTCTTCCAATGCCTCCCCGCAATTATGTCATGTATCATGGTTCTACCGAATCCAGGACCCTCCGTAATTTGGATGCTAGTCCCTGCCCTCCGGGCATCACCTAGATGGCCGACCCTCTATTAGCTGGCTGCGACTGGTGTTGAGTATTATATAGCCTTGATCCTTCTCTGTCGCAGTCAGTCATGACTCTCACCGGCAGTCTCTGGTGCCTAACGTTGTTGACCGACACATCAGCTCCTAATTCTTCCAAGATCTTGACACCAGTTAGTCCATCTAGACTCTTGCAGGTCGGGTTATTAAACAACACTCACGGTCATATTGATTTTCCTCTAATTTTCGGCACTTGCATTGTCCATTTTCTTTCAAATTCACTCGGTCTCTCAAATCACTAATCATGAGCTCGTCGCGCAAGTCGCGGATTGCTTCGAGCATGTCCAATGTCATGTTCACAAATGCGGTATACTTCCCCAACTACCGGATATACCAGGGAGACACTCCAGGAATGCTCAACTACAGTTGTATCAACCACGTTTACTATGCTTACGCCAGTGTTTCAGCCGACGGCGGTGTTTTCGTAAGTTCTACGGAGTATTCACGACGTATTTCAAACGTCTCGGCAATCGGGGGTACTGACTCGGAATCTGAATCTAGCTGAGTGATGAGTGGGCGGATGCTGGTGCACCTGTTGACGGTGTACAAGGAGGGCTAGGGTCTCTTATGCACCTCAAGCAGAAGCATCCCCATCTTCGAGTTGTTCTGTCAATCGGGGGCGGCAACTCCTCGGAGATTTTCCCCCTGGTGGCATCTAGCACTCTATTGCGCGACAATTTTGCTAGATCAGCTAAGGGGCTTGTTGAAGCATCTGGCCTGGATGGAATCGACAGTAGGTACCGCCTCAAACAAATCTTCAGTTCTAATGATGAAGCTAACAAGATGATTTCAAGTTGCATGGGAATACCCTTGCGATGTCCAACAAGGCTACGACTTTCTTGCACTTCTAGCAGCTGTCCGCATTCATCTACCAGAGGAGCATTATATACTCACTGCTGCACTTCCTGCAGCCAAGTCCATCTTGCAGTTCCTTGATCTAATGGAGATCGCCGAATACCTGGACTTTATCAACTTGATGGCCTACGATTTCTTTGGTTCGTGGACTCCAAAGGCTGGGCATCACGCTCAACTCTATGCTATAGATAAAGAAGAAACATCAGCTTCTTCAGGGGTTTCTTATCTCATGTCCAAGGGATTTCCGCCTAAGAAGATTCTGCTTGGTATTCCAACTTTTGGACGAAGTTTCCTTCACTGCACAGGAGCAGGACACAAATACAAGGGCGTCGGCGGCGCGGAAGATGGCACGTTTGAGTACAATCAACTACCACGCAAGGGATGCAAAGAGGTTGTCGACAAACGCCATGTTGCAGCACACTGCACGGGGGCAGACGGTGGATTTGTGACGTACGACAACCCGGATACTGTTAAGATCAAGGCTGGTTTCTGCAAGCAAAAGGGACTAGGGGTGAGTAGCCTAATCATGGGTGCGAGGGCCGCGGTGTCGTGCATTCATGTCTTGCACAAGAACACCGCAACTCCATCACTTTCTGCCCAATTTCGTCACTGGATCGCTAACAATGTTTTCACAGGGTCTGTTTTACTGGAACGGTCCTGCTGATTCCAAGGACAAGTCCAGGAGCTTGGTTGCGGCAGGCTTCCGCGCTCTTCATTCGTCCTGATGAGTCTTACCGCTCCTTTGACCGCATCTTTCATTTTGCATATATGGGAGTGATACGGCGTTTATTTTTCAGTAGATGGGCATATACAGGTGTTGTCTGATCATATTCGGTTCAATCTTCTTTGTTGGATTCATGGAAAAGCGGTTACATTACGAAGGTATGCTAGGAAAACGGGGATTCTTCTGGAAAGAGTCAAAAATAGAGGCAAGGATATGCCATCTGGAGAATATATAGACAATAGACGGGACCGGCGTCTTTTTGGGGCAGGGAACAAAGGCACTGGATGCCCGACTACCCTTGAACATAAACTAATGACTTGCTGCCTGGTTCATTTGACCTCTTATCACCTTACTTAGTCTAGGGGAGGAAAGAAAACTTAGGATATTAATCCTAAATAATAAAAAGACTTAGGTAACTTTACATAAATTTAGGATATCTTTTACTGAGTTTATTTTAATGCCCTATATTAAGGTCCGGTGTTTTCTTGCTCCCCGAGGTCAGTGATACAAGATGCACAGTGGCCCTCTTTTTCTAACCATAGTCGTCCAAGGGCCGATCTGATTCAAGGAGGCAACGATTGAAAGGCGGTAGGGCATGTGCGTATCACATCAACGGTGAAGTCAGGCTCCAAAGAGACTGTTTTTGGGCAACAAACGAGACATCATGAGGCTAGCAATGTACGTCAGAGTGCATTGACATGCATGCATCCATGCAATGCAACTCTTTAGTGATCCGCAGGAAAGTCTTGAGTCAGAGGTCGTACTTTCGGTGACATTCCAACCTGAGGTGATGTTTTGAGGTTGGATTTGTCTCCTTGAAGTCAGTCACATGTGAAGTCACGACGGGATGGGCTACCCCTGCAGGGAATGGAACCGTTGGAGCTACTATGTACAACAAAGTACACCACAACAACGACCAGACTTGATCTACTAGCGCTTAGAAATCATGTCATAGCAACTCGATCCGTGATTATGTAGAGATGCCTCTGTATCAAATGATTTCTAACTCCATTCCAGTGAAGGTCGATAAGAAAGTTGCTCCCTACCAACCTTAGGTATTGTAGTTGCGTGCTTGGGTAGACTTGCATTAGACAGTACCTATCCACGTGGCGATAAGATAAAGAGCTCCTTCCGTCATCCCACGGCTCTACAGCCTACAGAGCTCGGCAGCTTGACACCAACAAACAACAGTGTCAAAAGACAATCTTCGCCTTAAAGATGCCCCGGGACTGGACATCGTCTGCTCATCACTACAGAGGCCCAACAATACATACTTCCTACCAAGATGTCTGGAACCGATAGGGTTCCGTCTCCCCCGGAGCCTGCGACAGAGTCGTCTCTACAAGGCCCGGATCTGGAGCTTTCCCATAATCAAACTCCAGACCAAGAGAACGAAGCTATTGAGAGCACGATGCCTCCTTTCGAACCATTGTTCACTCTCCTAACCAACTCAACTACAAATACTACTGTGCATCCTCGCGTCCACTACGTCTTCTCCGATGACGACCCTTCGATCCTCGCTGCCGGTGCTCAAGACCCGTCGCACCGACCTCTTGTCGTAGATCTCGCGCCAGCTCCCGAAGGCGAGTCCAACCGATGGGCTGTGTCCTGGGCCGCCAGTCTAACGCCCGATTTCGCCGTGACAAACTCGAGCGTAGCTGTCCAGCAGAGTGAGGGTGAAGAGAACGGAGGTGCTGGTGCTCTAATGCTCCGTGTTGAAGGCATCGAGCGCGAGCCCGTTGAAATGCGGCCCGAGTCCCTGCCTAGCTCTGGCAGTGGCGCCATAGGAGGTGAGGACGTCGATGTCTTGGCCGAAGAGTTCCGCAGACGGATGGGAGTGTTGAAGAAGGTGGTTGATGAGGCTGAAAAGAGGCGTCTGGTGATAGGACAGGATGAAGACATTCCCGATGCTGAAGAAGACGATGGTGCACCCGATGAAGCGGTGGTAGACTATGATGAGGACAAGGGGAAGGGGAAGGGGAAGGTGAAAGCAGAGAATGATTGACAGGAACTCACTTGAGAAGTTCAGTTTGCCCTGATGAGTTTCAGGCACTGTATCGGCAAAGATGGAACCGTGCCATCAACCGTGGTAAGTTGCATACTGTCATCGGTTCTACCATACTAACGCACCTACAGATTGTGATTCTACAAGATTAAGGATTTTGAAACTTCGGCACCGACAATACACAGAGATGTCCTAATGAGATTATGGGTCATCACAGTTTCAGGTGGACCAGACACCTTTGAATATGAATGAATACAGCTTGGCGTATAGGGTTTGTCTGATACATATGGGAATCGAGCGTGTCAGATTGTTAACTACCGATTTGAATATTTGATCCGAGTCAAAACATCACGATGCATCAACACAAGTGAGGAAGCGAAATGTAATTAAAAGTTCATACTATAAACGCCTCGAACTAATGCAAAGAGAAAAGGAAATCAAACGCCAGAGGAGTGGCAGAGTCAAACCAGGTTGTATAAACAAAAAAGAAAAAAGACGGGCTATCGGGCTATAGCAACAGTGATGATCCAAATCCAATGGGAATACGCATAACACAAATACAGCTCTGACACTGCTTTTACCTCCACACGATCCCGGCCCACTTCTCTGGGGCGCGTATATATTCCTCAATGAGTACAAGTATCGCCTCTGGGCCAGTCTCTCATCGTTCGACTCCTACCTAGTTCCGCGGTAGCTGGGGCAGATGGAACCGCCCTCCGCCAACACTGTTGAGCAGAGAGGATGCTGTGTTGTCGGCAGCAACACGACGGGCTAAGCGAGCAGGTAGGACAGCTGTGTGCATAACAGGCAAGCTGCCAATGGCTGCCTCGATGCTTCGCTTCTTGTTGTTGTTGTTCTGTCCCTTGATGACGAAGATGTAGATGAGAACAATAATGACAATAACAACAATGATAGCAACTGAACAAGTTAGCGAGAGGCCTCATGTCAAATTGAAGTTGCGAATACATACCACAGATACCCAAGCAGATCCACTTCTTCTTGCGTGTCTTGCGGGCAGTGTTGACGGCCACACCAATCTCCTCGTTACCCTTGTCGAGGTTCTCAACGACTTCCTCGCCCTTCTGTTCAATTTGGGTGACAGCAGCTTCTTGCTGAACGACAAGGGTGTCCATATCCTGGAACAATTGAGCCAGCTCAACCATTTGCTGCTCGATCTTGATGAGAGCCTGGTGACGATCCTGAACAGCGCTCAGAGCAGCACGGGCACGACCCTGGCGATCGCTCTGCATCATGGCCTGGCTAAAGACCTGGCCTCCAGTGGTGTCCTCGACAGCAGCCTGGATCTCTTGCTCCGAGGCATCTGGGCGCACAATACGGTACTGGCGGGCCATCTGATCCTGTGTGCGTTTTCGGAATTGCGACTCGACTTGCTGGTATTGGGTGATGGCAGCCTTGAGACGGCGGTCAATGCGGGTGACGTGAGGGTTGTTCTTTGGCGATTTCGCCTCAGGGTTAGACTTGACGGTGCGGACTCGCTCGGTAAGCTCGCGGTAGAGAGACATGGTATCAGCGGAAAGTGAGTCGAGCTGGCGGCTGGCGGCACTGGAGCCTGAGCTATCGGCATCGTCAAGAGTTCGCTGTTGGATCATGCGAAGCTGTTCCAAGTTCTGCTCAACAGTGTCGATTCCACGGTCGATGTCGCGGCACTCATTGAGAATGGCGTTGGGGTCGCCTTGGCCAAAGCCGACGGCGTTGTGGGCAAGCGGAGCCATCTCGACGCTACCTATCCCTCAAGCCATGTCAGTATGTGGTGGTAGAGGACAACCCTTTGAGTCCAAAATTCTCACCTCCATAACCCTGAGCGGGTGGGCTGTTGTAGCCACCGCCATTGCCGTAGCCATTGTTACCGCCATAGCCCTGGTCAGGAGAGTCGTATGGATTTTGGCCACCGTATCTGTTGCCAAGGTCAGTAAGCAGAACGAGTAAGCTATATGTATGAACTCAGGCAAAACATACCCGTACTATAACAGAAGTCAGCAGAGTATTCATAAAAAAGGTCTGGGCAGTTGGAAGAGAAAACAGCAGGTCGCAAAAGGGTAAGGGCTCAATTGGCGTCGCATGGGAAGCACTCAAAGTTGGAGCGGGATCAACAGGAGAGGGATGGATAGGAGGCGCAAACTAACACTCATTGTGGTGACTGAGCTCGAGCTCTGCTGTGGTGTCTGTTTTGGTTTCGACGAATTTTACCTCCTTTTACCGGAGGTTGGTCGTTTTTCGAGAATGGTCTTTGATTAATTGCTTTTCTGTCGTCGCTTTTCGAATCGAGTCGAGTTGCCAAGGGGTTTGGTTAGAGAGTGTTTCTCGTCGCGCAGCAAAGAGAAAGGAGCAAGGCCCGTGGGATATATACGATCAAAGAGAAGAATGATCGAGACTTGTGTAAACTAGTACTGACGAGGTAGAAAAAGGGAAAAAAGAAAAAGACGGCAAGTGAAAAAGAGAGTCGAGTGAGACGAGGGAGGGTGTAGAGTTAAGGTCAGAAAAATAAGATCAAGGCCAGGTGCAAATGAGACGTGACGGGAGATGGCAAGGAAGGCCCCAGCCAGGCCAGGAATGGGAGTGCGAACCCAGTCCAGGTGCGAGACGAGATTAGTGGAGGTGTTGAGTAGCAGCGGCAGTGGCAGTGGCAGAGTAGCACTTAGCCACTGAAATGTTAGCGGGCCTGGGGGTGAGGGTGGAGGCTAAGGCACTGGCGCTTGGACGCCGCTCACTGCCTTTAGCGGGCTAGAGATTACCTTAGCTTAGCCCTGTTCCGTACAAGCACCATGCTTCCTCCGTGTTGTGCAAGCCCCTTTGCTCTCTTGGACGGCGATGCAGGGTCCAATAGTCGGGATCAGAGATGCAAATCTGATTCCAGTTGCGACTTCTAGTGTACGACGGCTACGTAAGAGACTCTGTTTCTCTGGTTGTTTTGGCCGAGTGCCAAGGTTCGCATCGTCATGATCAGCTTCAAAACAGCCCCTTTGATCGTACGCGATGCCATGATAAAGGTGCTCAAAACCAGAGCTGCAACAGACAGAAACACTTTGAGAGTCTGGTCAATCATGCGACACTTATTCAATAGGATTATCATAGAATGGCACCAGAGACATACAGTAACCTAGCTATAAATGAGCTTAACATGTTTTTGGCTTAGAGGGAGGACAGAAGACAGATTCAAGCATACACGCTACCGCTGGATAACACCATTGATCTCGCCATCTTATTTTGTCTAGCACCCCTGGACAAGGGGCAATCCCGAAATAACCACTGTCCCTCGATAGCATCGTTCATTGGCGATGCATTCTCCACTGTTTCACCCTTGGGCGCCTGCTTTCCATTAATCCTGGTTTCTTCAGAGTGTGACTGAGAATTCTGTAACAAGTCTGGTGTTTTATATCCAATCTCTCTATTTGTCTCCGACTATCATCGCATCCACCGGCACTATCCGACATCATCATCAAAAGCTTCAAACTCTGATTCATAAACAAAGTCTCTCGTGTCATCCGCTAACTAAAGCAATTGAATCCGTTCGTCTGCAGGCTGACAACCTCCACCTGAGTGAGCCCTGTGATCCTGCGCTAGTCCTTCAGCTCTGCAAAATGGCGCCCACCATTTCGAGACTGACCTCGACCAGGGGGTCTCGAACAATCAACTTAAGCTTCGCCGCGTGGGTCTGGAGCGGCATTGCCAAGGAGGCTATTCGCTATTCGTGGTATTTTCGGATCGAGGAACCATCATTCATCTTGTCCTGTGTCTGGTACAGAGTCCAACATGGAAATGATAGCATATCAACCTTACAATGAGAGCAACTCTTTTACTAGAGGATAAGTCGGGATATTTTGTATGCACCTCGTAATTTCCCGTTGCTTATGCCCTTGGTCAGCTCCACCAGCAATGCTTCGTCTTACTCTGCCATTCAATGGACGGGACAATTGACACCTTTCCAGCCATCCATCTCATATTTCAGCCGCAGAAACTTGTTGCGCAGCACAAACCAACAGGCTTCCCAAATCCGTTTCCGACGGACTCTACTCTAGGCTTATTCCGAGAACCTTGCTTGAACGAACGATAAGTTTGAATTTTATTCTCATTTGCGGGTCGCAGTTCCTACCAATATCATGTTATTTATTAATTGCATATCTGTTAAAGATGACCCAACCTCTTCGCTCCCTAGGTCACCTAATGACAGTATAACTTCTTCCCCAATCTTGAGTCCAGCACATACATCTGATACTCCATCTGATTTCAAAGACTATCATTCTGCCACACCACAACGCCAACATGTTGAAATCCCATACTCAAAGAATAGCATATGCAGACACATAGCTAACGCTGAACTGGCTCGGAATATCGACCAAGTTGCTGCGATCGTATTTGATAATATTAAATCGCCCCTTGTCTTGGAACGCATCCTCTTGTCGGATGAGCTCCAGAGCTGCCATCACCACACCAATGGGGTGTCGCCCGCATACCGAATTACGGGTTTGTCGTAGAGTGGCAAGAAAATCTTGATGAACGCCGCTCTCTACAGCATCCATGGCTGCTTCGTCGATGACTCTAATCGTCTCGTGAATCGGGGGACCGTTGGGTCTGGGGCCATCCTTTCTCAACTGCGTCAGATCAAAAGGACTTTTCGTAGGTGAATAGGGTAGGTAGCTGAAATGAGAGCCCCAATGACAAAAATCGGAGCTGACTATAAAGGCGTTCTCCGGGTCTTTGAGGTATGGCAGTAAAGCTCGTCCTATAATATTCTCCTCATCCCCGTTGTTACTGCCTACAAGAACAGGCACAATCTTGGGAAATTTGTCAGGCGAGTCAAATGACTCCTGACAGCGGAGATAAAGATATGGCATATGCATCTCAAGAGAGTGTTCCTCAATCTCGCGGCGTTTGGGCATATTCTCCATTTCTAGTGCGTCCTGGAGCTCTCTGACCACTTCCTGGTCGATATCCAAGTCGCCAAATGGTGTTGCATACTTTTCAAAGTTAGTGGCTGCACATCCTTCGAGATAGTAAGTGTGAGATGGACCAAGGACGATGACTCGCTTGGCACGGCTCAGGTCAAGGGTCTTATAAGCCCAAGCTGCACACGGCCCAGAGAATGCATATCCCGCATGGCTGCAGCATACTATCGTCAGCTCAAGAGTATATCAATGCGCTTCGCAGGTAAACTCACGGAGCTATGATCACACGAGCTCCGGTAACAGGCACTGGAACTCCATCCAAACTCTCCGGGACTGCCGTTAGATAGCTCTGCAGCTCAAGGCGTAGCGTTTCCGGGTCCTCCTCATACCAGGAGCCGGCCTTTTTCGCTGGTCGGGTGGTCGTCATTGTAAAATGAGAAGTTTCAGAACAAAATTACAATTCTGACGATGATGGATGAGGGTTTATTAAGCAGATATAAATATGTTTTAGATAGATACCTAGGGATGGGGAGGACGAAAGTAAGTCGGGTAGGAACAGATCACATCCGTGGGTGTCTTACCTCTTAAGGTTGCCCCGCCTTACACAGCGGGGTACACGAAGCTTTAGGCACATGCATGCTGTGCTTGCTCGTTGTGGCATGACTTCAAAATGGTTGGATGATAAGACTCGAGAGTTTGTTGTTCTTGAGGCATCAGGCGGAACGGCACATTATACACTCTACTGATGAAGCTGCTCCTTGGGCAGTCCAGGATTTATATGCTGATGCATGACACAAACAGCAAACACTGACAATCGATGCCCAGATGAGCCACAATCATGTATACGTATAACAACTGTATCACATAAACTGTGTTCTTGCTATTCATTGCTTCTCATGAGTAGCCAATCTCATTCATTCATGCATTCATCCATCAATCCACGACCCAGGCATCGTGATGGTCTCCTTCTCTATCACCTGCCAGAACTCTTTTGCCATCCATTCAAATTCTGGCGCCCAAACTATTTCCCATTCACTAGGGGTCGGACCAAACTTGAGTCCTAAGAGTCGAATCGGTATCCAATGGTTGTTGTTCCATATCTCTCGACCAGATCGCTCTACTCGTCTAAACGTATGGCGCGCGCTCGTTGACGGCAGCACGTTCCGTACTTCATTCCTCGATGCCTCGATTGCGTCTGAATCGAAAGCTGCGCGAAAGTGTTTGCTAATATTGATAGACTCTTGTTCTCCGTAGAGCATCAGGTCAACTCCGCTCTCCTGCAAGATTGAAACAAACTTCTGGATGCAACCTTGGAACACATTATCCCAATGAAAGAATTCAATATCAGGAGAAAGGTAGCAGAGAGCTCCGCCAATAACTGAGATCAGCGGTGTGCCTTTCCAGGTTGGAACCTGATATACATCCCAGGGCTGCACTATCTCGACCGTGTGTAAATCTTCCAGTCTGGCAACTGAGGCTACCTCCAGCACCAACTGATCCCATCCCATGTTAAAGAGTGATAAGTCCCACATGGCCCAACCTCTTACCCACGGAAGAACTTCATCTGCGAAACGAATACCGAGTGCCACAGCTGCCGAGTGCATGAGTGAAACCCCAGTGCGACTTGATTCCCCAACGTCGAAACTGGTGATTTTCTGATCTCGTGCGAGAAGGTAGGAGAGTGTTCTTGGCGCTTGACAATGAAAAGATCCAAGCCGGAAAGCTTCCAGACGATGGATGAGCGGGCCATTATAGAAGTTAGGCAAGAATCTTTGCTGAAAGATTCTAATATACTCGTCATTATAATCGCATGATCTATGATAGTCGAACATACGCAGAACCATGCTTGTCTCTGGCTCATCCATATATGACTGAAATAAACCTGCAATCTTTAGCCATATTTTCTCCGGGTTGCTTCGATCGGGATTGAAAACTGGCGCTGACAATGCACTTCTGAGAGCATGTCAGAACTTAGGTATCGCATGACTGTGATGTAGAACTTACTTTTCGGGGCCAACTTTCTCAAGCAAAGCTTCATGAAGCCCTAAGCTAAGTAGCAACTGACAGATGTCGAAGTTTTTGCTTTCCGCAGCGTACTGTAAGCCAAATTAGTGACCATACCTAACGCTGCTCGGTGGTGCTGCCATACATAAAGAAGAGATTGTCCCATTTCATCTTTGTCGAACGGAGACGCTTTCCGATTTCCGAATAGCTCAAGAACACCGGCCCTATCTCCTCCTTCTATTCTTTGGATAATCTCAGATTCGGATGAGACGACATTATACACTCGATAGTTGTATGTCCAACCGTAGCCAGTTGGAGTCGATTGTAGTTCATATACGGACGATGAAAACCAACTTGGCAATTGGAGATACGCTTGCCACGCACCAGTGGTAGTAGCATATGCCATGGCTAATCGACCGAATTTAGAAGGGGTATATATCTTGTTGAGCTTTGAACCGTGTTTCGGTATACGTGACAGTTGAGATTCATCAATCTCTGTGACATTGCAGCGAGATTCATCTCGCTTTTGGGCCTCGATCTGTGGGGTTTCCTCAAGCTTAGAGCTTCCACAATGGTCCTTGAGTGTTTTGGTGAGCTGAGTTGCAATTAGATCAGGTGTCATTATCGTGATAGTCCTTGAAAAATATCATTAGTTACTCCTCAGCGAGGGAGCTCCGTGTCAGCCCCCGTCATGTCAATACTTACATATGCCAAGCCTGTATCGCTAAGTTCAGCAATGATATTGACTCGTTCAGTCTGGTGGTGAGAGCATCTAAGCTTTCCTTTCCAATGGTTATCTTCACAGCGGCTAGCTTCCGTTTGAGGCCAGTCTTGACTTCGAGTTTCGAGGATATATAATCTGCGTTTTGTCTAAGCAGCTCCAGCGCCTCCATTGAAGCTCTTAAGTTATCTTGCACCAGCGAAAACGTAGGCAGCATATTGAAAGACTGCTGATTCGGATATTGCTGATCTAGGACTTCAAATATAGACTTATAGCCTTGTAGACGTTTCAAAAGAAGCTGCGTTTCCTGAGGTAAATCTTGGGCTTGGTCCCACAACCTCTTCGTCTTGATTACACATTTCCCAATTTCTGTCGAGATTTGGACAAATGCAATAATGCTTGCGGCGGCCTCCATCCTCAGTTGTGAATCGGACGGTTAATACTTATGGTATGAGCCAACGGTCAAAAGAAAGAATAAATACAGTTGCTACGATTATGAGAAAACAGCCAGCTTCTATGGGCAGGACGAGTCATTAATAATGAGTCGTTAAATCCCAACAGACAAGAGCACTGCCTCTTTAACGACATAACCAACAAGACTGTTACCTTTGTGGGACAGGGTTGACCAACCAGGCTACTTGATTGAGGCTATCCATGTCGCTATCCGGGGTTGAAAGGCGCGTAGAGTAGTGGCCATGGGAAGATAGGCGGCAAACCGCAGCACATGTTGAATTATGGATGGATGGGTGCCTTGTAATGTTTCACATCATGATCAGGCGATGCACCATGATAGGCCTCCCAAATATGCCTATACCTAACACCACTGGCATCCAGTTTCCGTGTTCTTGGAGACGGGCAGTCATTTAGATAGGTATTCATCGTATAAACAGTATGAAATCCTGTATGCATGAGGAGGCGCCCGGCGGTTATTAAAGACGGATACGGTGCGGGTACGGGCCGTTGGAGGCGCTAAACATCGCCAGCTCCACCAACTGTGAAATCATCAACAGGCACTGAGTTCTGTCCAACTACCTTACCCTACAGTTCTTATGCTGCAGGATAAAATTGCATGTGACAAAAAGAATATAGAGCCTGTAGACTATTTGATTGTATTTACCTAAATATAAGAGGATATGGCCCTTACAGATTCCAATCTGTTGCAACTAACTTGACAATCCATCATGCGTTCATTCTTAGTGACTATGTTTAGCATTGCAAAATTGAAGCATTGTCCTGTCGGTGGTCATACATGAGCAAAACAAAGAGTCTTTGCCTTATAAAACCAGCTTATCTTACGGAAACTGATCTACCAACCAATGTGTAAGAATTCCCTATCATGAGATCCCGCAAGAGGTGAATACTTAGTACTAAGGCACGCCTTGCAGCACGGCTCGTATTCCCTGCATTGTGGCTTCCGGTGCCGCGTGCCCCTTTCGATAGTTGGCATGCGTCAGGGAAAGCTGAAAGACTGAGGCTGGCTGCAGGACGGGGTTAAAGACAGCGGTATCTAACGCAAGGAGCCACACAGAACGGTAAAGATGTGCAACAGCCGAGTGAACCAGTTACCGTGTAGTAGCCACAATGTGATATGTGGTTCAACAGTTGTCTCTCGGAAGAGCCGTAACCGTTCCGGGGATTTTTGCGAACGATATCAACTGGGGCTAGAATAATTGAGCTGCGGTAAAGACGGTCGAAACCCGCAGCCCCACGATTCAATGGATGCTCATCTAACGACAAAGCTCAGATGGGGAACTTGAGCTGATGCTGTTTTCTTGCGAGAGGTGGGAAAATAAGTAGGGCAGTTTGATGAAAACATAAGATAAGATATTTGTTATGAGGTGGAGGGTAGCACCTTAGGTTGGCACTATAGCGTCGGATTGCACAATCTAATTGCGACAACATCAAACATCTGTCGGAGATATAAAATAATAATAGAATGCTAAGAAAAAATTCATAGAAACTTCCCATGTTTCTAGTTTGCAAGTGTTTCTCCATATCAATGGATGCGTTTGTCCAAGTGAAGTGGATTGGATGGAGCTATCCATTTACCGAAGTCGGAGTCAGCCCCAGTGGCGAACGGGTCTATTGCCGAACCGACTGACCGGACTAATGAACTTTATTGGCATATTATCCCGAACCGAGTCGTCGAGTATCTTGGACTCTTGAAGTCTGTTGTGTTCAAACTTTGCTCGTAGGTAGTCGAACTAAGCTTATACATACGTGGTAATGTTTATCATAACTCGCTGAACTGGGTGCTAGGGACCCTGGAGAGTAGGTACTACTGATTTACGGGCTGGCTGCCTTTGAATAGCGGGCGCTGGCGTCGACAGTGGGCTAAGACATGCCGTTAACTAACGATCTATAGCGCCCAGCCCTGTCTCATCTGTCTAATGTTTCTTAGGAGAAACTGTCTACGCTAATGACGCTGCTAACTAAAAAGAACAGAGAACCGACATCCTAATCTGATCTAGGCTGGCAATGCCTCGCCCGCGACCGAAAAAGCTCTGTCACGGTGTTAGTCTGGATCGTCGAATGCCGTGCCGTTTTAACCATTGAATTGCCACTAATAAATGACAAACTATGCAATAAAATTAATCAGCTCGCTCTTTGACTTGAGTTTTTCCTCCTTCTCGTTGCTTCGAGCCCAATGTCTCCCTTCCCTGTGACAATCTGCTGTACTTGACTGTATGACACGGGATTTACATACCTGAGAAACACCTCTCACAATTGTGTAACCAGCCCTTGCTTGCCTCAGTCTGCAGCTCCTATCTCGACCCTCCCTGGTCCAGGGATCAGCCTCCACTGTCGCATTCCGTCATCGTAACTAACCTAAAAGTCGCCGAAAACTCCTGCAGCCCGCGGCCATTTCATTACCTTGGGTTCCCCCTCCAGCTTCAGCTCCCGGGCTCTTCTTCTCCCATCTTCAACACCAACAAAACTTCACTTTCATTATCCTTTTCCCACGACAAGAGTGAGCACCCTCTTTTGGCGCTCGTGTCACTTCTTCGCCATGGGTATTCTTCAGAAGATGGCTTGGTCAAAGAGCACCAGGATCAAGGTGATGATAGCCATTGACACTTTGTTTTTCCTCGTCGAGATCGTCTCTGGCTTCCTTGCCCACTCGCTGGCCCTCATGGCCGATGCTTTTCACATGGTCAGTCAATCGCATCTGTTTCGCGCTGGATGCGAATCGATGGATAGAACATCAGCTAACTCGGCGCAGCTCAATGATATCATCTCCTTGGTTATCGGCCTCTGGGCTGTGTCTGCCGCACAAAAGACCTCCACTGACGAATTTACCTTTGGCGTACGTCTTCCAAACCACCCGCGCGCCCCTTCAACCCTGATGCGCTTGTCTAACTGTCTTCTAGTGGGTTCGCGCAGAGATTCTGGGTGCCTTCTTCAACGCCGTTTTCCTAATCGCCCTTTGTGTTTCCATCGTCCTCGAAGCATTGACCCGATTCATCGAACCCCCTGAGATCAATAACCCCAAGCTCATGCTCATTGTTGGTTCTGCCGGCCTGTTCTCCAACTTTGTCGGTTTCTTTGTCCTCGGCGGCCACGGTCATTCTCATGGACCCGGCGAGCACGACCATGATCATGAGCACGGGCACTCTCACGCCCACGTCCACGACGAGGAGGAGGGCAACGCCGGTTACCAAACCCAGGGCACTCTTGCAGACGAAAGTGGCCGTGCTGCGGAGGTTCTACCCGAGGCTGTGATCCACCGTGCAACAGCGTCCAAGAAGTCCAACGGCAAATCCAGCGAACAGCGACATAGCAGAGATGCATCCACACGAGGCCGCGACTATCATCGATCCAGTAGGAGTGGACACGCTCGTTTCGCGAGTCTCGATGACTTGAGCATTCACCCAGCAAGTTTCCGGCAAAGCATTATTGAAGCTACGCGTGGCGAGACCAACGAAAGCACTAGCGAGAGCGAGACCGACGCCGAGAACTCTTTGATAATGGAAGAGGACGAGGCGCATGAGGAATCACCTCTTCTCAAAGACGTTGCGAAAAAGGGTTCTTCGCTTGGTCACAATAGAAAGGGCTCTCACTCTCATTCCCACTCTCGACGACCTAGGCGGGACTCGAGCGTTCATCACGGCCACCACCACACTCTTCCCAAGAAATCTGGCAAGAAGGACAGCCACGGCCATAACCACGCTGATATGGGTATGAATGCTATGATTCTCCACGTCATTGGCGACATGCTTGGCAACATAGGTGTCATGGTTACGGCTCTCATCATCTGGTTGACGGATTGGCCTGGCAAAGTCTACGCTGATCCCGCCGTCTCTCTGTTCATCACTGCTATCATCCTCAAGACCTGCATTCCTCTTACCCGAGGCACTGCTCGTGTTCTTTTACAAGCCACCCCCGAGCATATCAGCGTCCCTGAGATTAGACAAGACATCGAAGCTCTTCCCGGCGTTATTACCTGCCACCATATTCACGTCTGGCAACTCTCAGACACCAAACTTGTCGCTAGCATGCACCTCCAAGTGTCTTTCCCCATCGATTCTCACAGTGGCGAGAAGTACATGGAGCTGGCCCGACGAGCTCGGAAGTGTCTTCATGGGTTCGGCATTCACAGTGCTACGATACAGCCCGAGTTCTGCTTCGATCAGAAGCACTCACACGATGCAGAAGCTGCTGCTCCTCTGTCCCTAGATGGTCCTACTGATCCCAACAAGGGCGATAGTTGCCTCCTTGAGTGTATCGATGACTGTCAGGCCCAGGGTTGCTGCCCTGTCGACTCGTCATCCAAGGCTTCGTCAACAAGACGATGTAGTGAATCGTCGCACAGCGCCACCAGCCCTCATGCGCACGATCATAACCACGGCCACGGCCACGATCACGGCAAAAACCACCAGCACTAATCCACTATAGCACATCAGGTTTTGTTCCGGGCTTTGCTTTTAGGGTGCTGAGGCCCCTGGCACCCACACCTATTTTCTGTCTCTACTACATACAGCGAATAATTTCTCCTTGGTCTTTAAACTAAAAGGGTTTGGCGTTCTATCGTGCGGAAAGATGACTCTAATATGGGGTAGTCTTATTGTTAGGCAGCATTTGGCACGAGAGTATGTGGTATTCGAGAGGTAGATGGTACCTTTTTTGTCTTTGTACGATAGATAGCGGTATATCACGCGGATTGAAATTTTCTTTATCTTGTAGCATCTATCCTCCCCGTGTTCTGCCATGAACGGCTTGTAGCTTGCGCTGTTGTGCTGTTTCTTGAGTAAGGATGTCTCTTTTCCTGCACAATATGGTATCGTCCCTAGAGGCACGAATAGTAATCACTAGCAATGCATGTCTGTTTATTTATTTGTTTTGAAAATATCCTCGATGTGACACAACGCCGCTATTTAACGCCATTTTCTTTGGGCTGCATTTAGTCCCGATTTGTATTTACACTTGATCATACTCAATTTTCTCATTCATAAAGGGCGTCAATCAATACCTACGCCTGCGGCGGAAGGATGAGTTCATCACGGCTACCGACTTCGATGACGCCTGCGTCACCCTTGAACAGATACTCCACACGAAGAATCTTGTCCAAGCCCGGAGCTGGGTCCCAGAATCCTGGCAGGCGACTCTTGCGCACGCCATGGGGGATCACTAGGGCTGGGCCGCTGGAATACGATGATTCGTTGATAAGGGCGGCAACGGCGATTGTGACATCGGCAACCTGATCGCTTGTTGCGAGGATGCCATATTCATCAGGGATGCCGTATTTAGCATTGAGGATAACGAGACCACCAAGCGTCATCTGACGCTTCTGGCGGCCCTCTACTGGATGTGCGAGGAGTGTTGTGATGTTGTCTGCCTCGTATCTATGCCGAGCAACGGCGACTGGTGTCCCAGTTGAAGAGACATCTGAGCGAACGCGGCGGTGAGATCGTGAAACTCGTTGACGGCGACGATAGTTGAGACCAAGTTGCACTGCCGCAAGTCCAGCAAAGGGTAGGGCACCAGCCCAGAAAAGGACACTAGACCCAAGAAGCGATCGTGGTGCTATGAGAAGAGGGACACTGAGACGCTGTCCAAGGCGGGACCAGTAGACGGAGAGGTGAAGGTTGTGCAGACTGATGCCGACTTCAAGACCAACACGCGCGAAACGGCCAATAGACCACAGATTGCGGAGGGCAAAATACTGGTCCTGGAATGTGTTGGAACAGAGCTCTGCCTCTACACGGGCTGATGAGGATAGACCAGGATCCAGTGATGTCGGAGGAGTTTGGAAAGGTAGAGTCAGGTCCTTGCTGTATCGGACAGCGCCGGCCAATGTAGTTGGTGTAGCGGATGCAGAGACAGCCCAGCTTCCATGCTTGCAAGAATTAATCTCGTAGTCGAGACCCCTAATGCCGCCCTCATCGCCAGGAGAGTCTGACGAGCCTGGTACAGGTAATCGGTCTGATGGTCCTGTTCGGAAGCCTAGTTCAAAGTTCGGGGTTGCTCCAGGGGCTTCGGCGTTAAAGAAGTCAGGACTGATTCTTGAGTGTTCAGAGAAGAAATGAGAGTATTGATAGGATCCAAAGCTCCAGTCGCCACTGTCTGCGCGCAGGAATCCTGTTCCCTGTCGCAGATTCTGGTAGAGACCTAGAGCAACACGCGGTTGAATCGACGTGGAATCGCGCGACGACTGTATGCTAGCCTCGGCTATGGTTGGTTCTGAGAATTTGGGGAGGAGGAAGTGATGATAAAGACGGCTGGTGACGGAGAACTGTGGTAGAACATCTGACTCAAGCTCAACAGCAGTCTTGATCCACCTAAGCTTATCAGCCGATGATGGAGGTGAGCGGTTCAGAAACTCTTGTCGATATCGCAGAGAGGCCAATGGAGCGAACTTGTTCTCAACGAGTTGTATGAGTCTCTGTCTGGTGATCGGCAGAGGTAACAAGGGTTGATATCGATCGTACAAGAGTGATGTTGGTACCAAGGATAGATCCCGTGTAATGCCGTAAGTAGATCCAGTTACAGTCACGGTGGGTGTTGCGACCTGGATTCGGGGTTGTGATAGACTCTCGATTGCGTCCTTCTCTTCCTTTGAAGCAAGACTTGCGAGTCGTGTGACTTGCGGTTGAAGAAGCTTCTGGAGTGCTGGTAGGTCGACTGTGACGGAATGACTGAGAGAAAAGTCAAGGATTTGCAGCCCTGAGGCGCCAGTTCCGGAGCCAGAGGCGTCAAGTCGAATTCCTAGATCAGAGCTTGTCTGTATGCCGTTCTGCAACCGGTCCCAAACAGCTTCTTTAAAGGCGACCTCGTATTCTGATTGTGATGCGCCTGTCTCTTCAGTTTCCAGGAACTGGTCGAGGTCATACTGAGCTCGTCGCGCAGGATCAATGAGAGTTTCGAAGGCATCCTGGACACGGAGGAATTGCTGGTGAGCTATGGGGCGCAAATGCTCAGGATAGCTGTCCGGGTAAAAGAGGATAAACAGACGGTAGTATGCGCTCCGGATCTGCTGTTGCGACAACTCCGAATTGTCTCGTGAGAGGCAGAGAAGGTCGTAGAAATTGGTGTCGAGATCCTCTGCTCCAGGTGCTGGATCTTGTGTATGAGGCACAGGTCCATAGCCACCCTCAGTTGAGCTCAAGGCAACCTTCTCATCGAGGTCTGGATCTCCCGTCTCGGAAACACTTGTTTCACGCTCGTAGATTGAACTAGCATCATCGTCCCAGAATTGGAACTCCTGCTTTGTAGCAGCAAACTGTTCGTTGAGGGAAAAGCGAGATGGAGCAGCTCGAAGAGCTTGCGCGGTAGCTGGAGCGCCTGAAGACAGACGGTGCTCGTCTACGTTGGCTGAAGAGCGCACTGAAGAGTTTCTGGAGACGCCACGACGAGGACGAGCGCGGGGCACTCGAAGACTTTCGCGGCGGGAGTCTCTGTCGTGGGTCATGATGTCTGATTGATGGTGTTGAGGGAGAGGCAGACGACTGACTAACTCTCCGTTGAGTGAGTAGACTACAGATCAAAACAATAGAGAAGTCACCGCCTCGGGCTGATGGCAGTGAGTGAGCAATTCTCCAATCACGATACACAAGAAAGCGGATGCATCAGTCAAAGGCCCCTCGCACGATCCCGATGTGGGTTGATCCATTGTTGGGAGAGTTGGAGAAGTTGTTAGGCCACTAATGTAAGCACCTACTGACGCAAACTGCAGGGGTCGTCCTTGAAGTGTACTGTGCAACAGAATTGTATTGGTAGTGAGAATTAACATTCATCATCTATCAAACTTTGATCCTCGAGCTTATGGAATAAAACAAGGCTATCAAATTGGTAAGTGCCTTAGTTACTGAGGGAAACAACACTTGGTTATATCGTTACATTTGCGCCGGCCCCATTCTTGGGTCTTCAGATCCACGATGCCCCCAGTCTTTCCAGGGACTCACCTCACTCCATTGAGACACGATGAACATGTGGCAGGTTTAACTAATAAGCGTGGACAGTAGCGGGGTATCCAATTCTATTGTTCCTGAGACTACTCTTATTTTACACGGAATTTCCATTAGATTATGTCTCTAACAAAAGTCCGAGTTGGAGTCAGTTTGTATTCACGTAGAAATGAAACATCGAGTCAGCTGGCTTAGTTAGTAGGTAGTTTCATCCTACATACCAGCCATAAACAGTTACTCAAGATCATCCATACTCCACCTGTTCATCCACAGACCTTCAAACAAGTTTCGGCGTTGCCAGGTCATCTCGTGCAACTGTTGTACCCACTTGAAATTACAAGTAATACCTGATTACTACAGTATCTATTATCAGTGTCCTCAGAAATGCAGTGTCTCTTCATGGCATGACCGAACCCTCTGAATATTCGAACTGTCTGTGGAACGTAGCATCAGTGTTCGACAGCACGGTTCGCGATGTCATGCGTTTCAATGAGCTAAGCAAGGATTCCCCAGGGTCAAGGATAACTATCCATGTCCTTAGCGGGCAGTATTATTGTTGAAACAAAACTTCCTGTAATGGGAGCCACTCAAGTATTAGTATAATCAACTCTCTCAGTCAACTATGTGATATCGTAAAGGCCTATTATAGATACCTTACCCAGGAAAGAGAAAAACTTCTGTCCTTGAACTCGATGTGCCAAAAATAACTACTTATCCCCACAGTCTAAAGGCCTCCTAAGTTGTGCTAAGCTCCCAAGTCTCTTCATTATATAGGATGGGGATTATAAGTTTTTCTTCATTCCCTGGGGTCCCCAGTGATAAGTCTATTGATATTACTGTTATTAAAAACTTGCATAAGATCTTTGACTCAGAACAAGTAGCAAAAAGCCGGCAACTTGTCAGATGGCCCAGCATCATAAGGATAGCTGCTCTCTATGGCAAGATTGCTACAGTAAGGAGCCAGAGTCATATTTGGAAGGTCAATATCAGTACCAATGGCACAGCTATGGAATTATATGGTTGCTATCTTCATAAACCGGATTGGTAATACCACAGCCCCTTTTATTAGTCTTGACCGGGCCCTCATGTGCTCACACATTTCTGTTAAACCTTGTGTCAGTTGGATATTTTTCGAATAGTTTTCAACGGAGAATGCGTCTATCAAAAAAATATCTAAATACTTGCAAAACTATGATGTTACAGCATTTGTCACTCAAGAGTAACTGAAGACTAAGTCATCATCATGACACCTCGTTTCTGATGAGGCTGCAATGCATCAAGAGTCGCGGATTAGTCTTCACCCATGACAGAACACTGATGAATAAATTGAGTGTCTTACAAATCCATTATCATCGAGACCTTGTAGCTCGCAAAGCCGATGTTACTAGCACTCATATTCATCTCCTATTGCGCCGCTATTAGTCAAAACGAAAAGGGGTCGTGGCGATCACAGTCAAGTATGAGTTGAGTCGATACAAGTCCATTCGTTCCACTGCCCTATCCAGTTTGATTCGAACTTCAGAGAAGCTCTCCAAATTCTTCCCTACAGGCAAAGCGGTTCAGTCAGTGCTTTATTTGTCTTGCACATTCGCACGTATCCAGTATATCTGTTCTGTTATACTAACAGACCTCCCTCCCTAATGACTGACTACCAGTGCTGTAAAAGTTATCGATGTCTAGTTATGACGAATTTCATTTGCCTTCCTCTTTGCTTTGAATGGGTATACTATGGCTATTCGGCTGTCGTCTCGTCATTGGCCTCTCTAAAGCCCCCTTGCTGGGAAGTCTTCAACCGACAGTCATAACTACAACCTCAGCTTCCAACAAAGCATCATTATATTTCAGAGAAAATTTAGGCCTATAACCATAAAACCTACAGGCGATTTATATGAAGAAAGCACTATCAAATTATACTCGGTATTACAGAAACGCCAAATATCGTTCATCAGGAATCTGCAAGGACCAAACTATTCTGACAATTGCTCGTTACCAAAACATGCTTCCTAGGCACCCTAAATGAATACTTTAGATAATAACCTGTTCTTTAACTCATATCTAGTTGGCATTATCGATCACCTTAACCGTATTAGCAACCGGTGCCCCGATGGCAGGGCTACATCAGTAGGGGATGAAGAGTATGAATACAATACCCTACATTTTATGTTGTCAAAATATGCCCGCGCTCTCACATAGAGGCTTGTATCTCACTCAAGAGAGTTTCCAGGACTATAAGTATCTTAAGAACTGTAAAGACTCTATGGGAGAAGCTTTGCCCGTTTACTTGGGCGAGAATATGGTTGTGGTAGGATGCCGCCGTTGGAACTATGTTTAGCATTAAAGGAGTCCGTTATTACAATAGTAAATTTCCCTTGGTCGGTTTTTATATCTTTAACGAGATCTTGCCAATGTTTGCGACTTGCCCTATTATCATTTGACCTCTTCCCCCATAGCTTGGCTAGAATAAGGTCGCATATCTAAAAACTTTAAAGGAAGAGATGTCCTATTATGTTTTCCAGTTCCTTCAAAATTGCATTTCATATCTACAGTAACTCGATATTACTCAATCCTGATGAAGAGATATCTGCATATATTATGTAAGGGTGGCTCAGCATGCAGTTACCATTGCTGTCGAAACTTAACTCAGGGATAGAGATATTTCATCAACGTACACAGGCACACTTCCAGTAGACCTCATAGTCCCCATTAAGCTTAAAAGGAGTCCAAATTACGGGCTATGAAGAAAAAGTACTACTCGGTGGTAATTGTAGCGCATTGTTCAAATGTTCAGGGCCCCATCTGTACGATCCTTCAACCTTCAACTCCAACCTCAAATGCACCATGCTGTACTGCCAATTACATATGTATCTGCTCACTCGCTGTAACATGCCTCACTACTCGAAATTGTCCGTTTGTGTATTAGTCCGCCTCCATGTTGCCTGTGCCTGGGCTTGTGTCGTTCCTCTTGTTTTCCAAGCTCGGTGCGAGGACACTCACCAACTCCTACTCTTTCACGGCGTCAGGGTAGTCCTATGGTGTGATGGTCCAGTCCACGTATAACTCATTCACCTCCAGTTTCATGTTCCAATATTCTCAGCTACTTCTGAATAGTGCTATTACCGCTTTTGGGTCAGGCTTCTAGGGACACATCCAAGTATCTCAACACACATCCCCAAGTTCAACAATTTCCTAAGACCCCTGAACAGAAGAATGATGGTTGCACCCGAAACTATACAGAAGCATGTCGGCAGCGTCTATCACACCTGTCAAGTTATCAGTGTCAGTTTTGACGGTGTCGATTGGGGCCACGACAACGATTCTCAGCGCTCCAAGACACCAATCACAGCGATGACCCAGCTATCGGGAGCAGCGCACAAGCCCTGACAAGAGAAACTCATGGCCGCAGGTTGGGTCGAGCTGAAAGAGCAGAAAACATGCAAGCTTTTAACCATGGGGGCTTCTCACAATGGCATTGGCCAGGCTGTACCCTGCTGACCGGTCTCGAACTGCAAGGCCGGTTGTCTGTCCCTGCGAACCTGTTGGCTGTTGCCTTTTGGCCTTCCTATCTTGTACATGCAGCAGTGTTAGGATGATCAGTAGAGAGAGTTAGCTCTCTGCACGTTTCGACAAGCAACTTTATGTAGCCTAACCTAGAGCTTGGAATATTGATTCACAGACCGATGAACAACAGCCTGATCAGAGATGGGTGATGTGCCCATGTTTACAAGCAGCGGCCCGTTGCATACAGTACAGTCCAGTCCCCATCACAATCAAATAACGGGATCTCTTTCGAATCACCCGCGGGCCGGAGCGTCAAACCCGTCCATCCTTCTCGCTTGCCCTGGCCTCGAGGAGCGAGTTGCTCAGGCTCTCTCGATACAAGGGAGCTGCGCCGTCACACCTGGAACCGCCGATGCCAGGCCCTTGTGCGAGTTCAGGGCATGTTTCCCGTCCGATGTACGAGACACAAAAGCCCTGGTACTACCCTATTCTGTGTGCGACGTCGTACAGCGGCTCGTGAACGAGTTCAACGACATGTGTACGCTCAGGTCGCCCATGACGGGCGGCGGCCTGCAATGCGAAATGCAAATCATCTGCAGCAGAGTGACCTCGAATGACTGACCGATTTCGCAGCAGGCGAACGCACGCAGCCCTACAGAATATGCTGACAATGCATCGGATTAGGGGTTATGTTGGGGTTGCTGTAGCCAGGGTTGTAGCGAGATGAAGGTCAGGTCATAGAATAGCAATGATTGTCCACCAACACGACACCCACAGTAAACAAACTGGGCCCTGAAGCATCTGTGTCACTATCACATTCAGGGAGACAGACTGACCTACCTACGCTATTGTTTGCTCGGCCTAGTTTCAGTTGAGTCAGCTGGAGCATCGATAACAATAATAAAAACACCTCAAATGAGCAGATTTCCAAGATTTCGATATCTACATCTCTTGGGCAGTAAGGACTGGCAGAAAACAATCGCCGATCGAGGACAAGAATCGTATC